ATAGGGATTCAAATAATGGATTGTTCTCAACCCAGCTGTAAGGCTTTAGATCAGTGGTTGCTCTTGTCTTCCAACTCTCTGACCTGGTGGCTGCTCCTTCCACCCATCAGAGCGTTCACTTCACTTCTCTCTCTTGAGTGGGTGTCCTAGGGCATCTCCTACTTTTTAATCTGCAAAAGAGAGGAATTCTTGAAACTTCAGGGTGATCCCTCTCCAGAGACTTAGCAAAGATCTGTTTGGAGACTGCCTTCCTTGATAGAGGCCATCGATCCTGTTCCCAGCTCAGTTACCTTTTGCTCCCCAAAGTCTGGAATTCTAATGGTAGGGGAGGGTGTGTTAATAATTCTCTTCCTCCCTTCCCCTTCAACCCCACTCAAAAATCATCTTAAACGCCTCTTTCTTAGAAGACTTAACCACCTCCACTGCTGCTTCAGCAAAGGCTTCCCCTCCTGAGCTATGGAACTACAATACAATGAACAGTTAGTAAGGCTCTACTTGGCAATATTGTGGATCTCACAATATTAGGCTTCCACTGCAATTTTTATTTTAATTAGCTTACTTTACCCAGACAACAACTTTGCATACATTTTGAGAGTGCAGTATTAATTGTATAAACATTAAATGCCTATAAAAGGCTGAAGTGACTGGACTTTATTTCTATCACAGTTGTGTAGACTCATTTTAGACTGAATTTTATATTGTACCGGTCACTTTTTTTTTTAAATGAATGTAATACAGTTGTAGAAAAGTGTCTGGTTTTTTTTTGTTTTTTTTTTTTAAAGGCATAAAATTATACTTGAGTATTTATATCATTCCAGCAAATGTTTCTTAAACAAATAGGCCTACTACTCTGGCTCTTCCAAATTAGTGCTATTAAAGGTCCATTATTACTTTTCTGCCATTTTCCATGTCTTGTCTGCAACTCAGCCACAATTATTTGAAGATCATCCTGCGATTCAAGGAGGGCCTTAACGGTTAGTGAAATATCTTCAGTATTGCTGGTTTTAATTCCCAACCTCCCCTTAAGAAAAGACCAAGATTGGTTCTGAGAAAAGATGAGGAGGAGGGTTGTAACAGAATATCAATTTAATATACAGTGCAGCAATGCTTAAAGTTTGGAAACGTCCTCATTTAGCAGTGGGAGGAATAGATCCACAGGCACCAAGGAATTCACAGAACAGATACAAGACAATATCTGAGATGACCATGTAGACTTTTGTCTCTATCATAGAGCAGACTAAGTGAAACATAAGGTAGTAAGTGTAGTGAAAGACTAATTTTATTAAATATTCTATATTTTGGGAAACCTCTAAAAATTACTCTTTTTAGGTAAAGTTTTTAATTTGACTTATCAATGCACTGCTTTCAGGTAAAGTTTGGAAAAAAATCTGAGACATCCTTAAAGTTTACTAATGGGGAGGAGGTACTATTAGTTAAGTAAAGGTGTGGCCAAAATAGGTCCTGTATTGCTGCTGGATGTTTTCCAGGCCTGGGTTCCAGCAAACATCTGGAAAGGATGAATTTCAGAAACATGGGAGCTCTACTGGGAATTTTCTGCCACTGTTTGTGGAATTCTTAAACCTAGATTATCAGAAGATAGTTGCTGTGACCGGATAAAGGAAGAGGCAATTCCTCAGTTGAAATTTAGAATATTTATGCTTTTATAAATTTAACAGAGGTCAATGCAGAGCATAGTGGATTGGTGGTATGTGCTCTTGGCTGCTCATTTCCTTCAAGAGGCAAACCATTGCATTCTATACAAGCTGAAGAAAATGCTGCAGATTTGGGTAAAGTAACCTTCAGAAAATTGCTGAGTATTAACATTTTTTCATTGATTGTGTTCCATCCTGTTTTTAAAAGTCTTATTGGTAAGGCACAATGAATGTTAACCACAACAATAATTGTCGTTAATTTTAACTTGTATCTTCAAAATAGGGCCAGATCATGATCCTTATGTGAAGTCAATAGCAAAATTCCCGTTGACTTCAAACCGACCAAGAATTATCCCACATGTTGGAATTTTCAAAAGTGTTCCCATATCACTTAAGTACGCAAGCCTGTTGACTGTGCTCCTAAAGTCACTTAGGTGCTTTGGAAAATCTCACACATGGAATTCAAAATAGTAAATTATGAGATTACTACAAAGCATAGGAGAAGAGGAGGAAAGCTTCTGAAAATCTTTCTTTCTTCAAAAGTCCACAGCTATTAAAGTTAGTAACCCTAGTGAATGTTGGTATTCCCCTTTAGATGTGATTTTAGGTGTGGTTTGTATAAAGGTAGTCCTTTAGAAGGATCACTTTTTATGTGTAGACATCTGCAAATCTAGATAATAAAGCTCCAGTGCTTGGCAATTTGAGCACCATAAATAAGAATTGTTCACTATGCAACAGGTATGCAGGACACATGTTAAAATCATAATGAGTGAGAAGTTTAGTAATATCCTCTATCAAAGGAGTTAAGGGATTTTCCCATTCTTTACCATCAGTTGACAACCCCAAATTAAAGCATATAAATATTAGACAGTTGAGATTTTCAAAAGTACTAGGGATTTAGCTAGGCATCTTCCATTTAACTTTAAATTCAGGCCATGCTTCCTGCAAAGGTTAGTGTTTGTTTATATATATATAGAGAGAGAGAAAAAAAAAGTAAAGCAATTATTATATAACTTTTTTCCCATGTCATAGAATATCAGGGTTGGAAGGGACCTCAGGAGGTCATCTAGTCCAACCCCCTGCTCAAAAGCAGGACCCATACCCAATTAAATCATCCCAGCCAGGGCTTTGTCAAGCCTGACCTTAAAAACTTCTAAGGAAGGAGATTCTACCACCTCCCTAGGTAATCCATTCCAGTGTTTCACCACCCTCCTAGTGAAAAAGTTTTTCCTAATATCCAACCTAAACCTCCCCCACTGCAACTTGAGACCATTACTCCTTGTTCTGTCATCAGCTACCACTGAGAACAGTCTAGATCTATCCTCTTTGGAACCCCCTTTCAGGTAGTTGAAAGCAGCTATCAAATCCCCCCTCATTCTTCTCTTCTGCAGACTAAACAATCCCAGTTCCCTCAGCCTCTCCTCATAAGTCATGTGTTCCAGTCCCCTAATCATTTTTGTTGCCCTCCGCTGGACGTTTTCCAATTTTTCCACATCCTTCTTGTAGTGTGGGGCCCAAAACTGGACACAGTACTCCAGATGAGGCCTCACCAATGTCGAATAGAGGGGGACGATCACGTCCCTCGATCTGCTCGCTATGCCCCTGCTTATACATCCCAAAATGCCATTGGCCTTCTTGGCAACAAGGGCACACTGCTGACTCATATCCAGCTTCTCGTCTACTGTCACCCCTAGGTCCTTTTCTGCAGAACTGCTGCCTAGCCATTCGGTCCCGAGTCTGTAGCGGTGATTAATTTGCTCAGTGAATTGTAGCCTGCCACCTTTTCCCAAATAACCTGTCCTTTTAACGCATTTGTGTTCTACTTTCACAGGATTCAGACCTTCAAGCAAGTCCACTACTTTGAAATTGGTAGCTGAACATCTTCCAAATGAGTTCCATCTCCAGGGCTTGAATGCTTCTATCATAAATATAAAGGGAAGAGTAAACATCTTTAAAATCCCTCGTGGCCAGAGGAAAAATTCTTTCACCTGTAAAGGGTTAAGAAGCTAGGATAACCTCGCTGGCACCTGACCAAAATGACCAATGAGGAGACCAGATACTTTCAAAAGCTGGGAGGAGGAAGAAAAACAAAGGGTCTGTCTGTGTGATGCTTTTGCCAGGGACAGAACAGGAATGGAGTCTTAGAACTTAGTAAGTAATCTAGCTAAATATGCGTTAGATAATTTCTCAGCCATTTAAAGAAATAATAAAGCTGTGCTGAATAGAATGGATATTCCTGTCTGTGTGTCTTTTTGTAACTTAAGGTTTTGCCTAGAAGGATTCTCTGTGTTTTGAATCTAATTACCCTGTAAGGTATTTACCATCCTGATTTTACAGAGGTGATTCTTTTTATTGTTACTTCTGTTATTTCTATTAAAATTCTTCTTTTCAAGAACTGAATTTTTTTTTTTATTCTTAAGATCCAAGGGTTTGGGTCTGTGGTCACCTATGCAAATTGGTGAGGATTTTTATCAAACCTTCCCCAGGAAGTGGGGTGCAAGGGTTGGGAGGATTTATGGGAGAAAGAAGTTTCCAAACAATGCTTTCCTAATAAAAATAAACCCAAATAAACGTTTGGTGGTGGCAGTGGAAGTCCAAGGGCAAAGGGTAAAATAGTTTGTACCTTGGGGAAGTTTTAACCTAAGCTGGTAAAAGTAAGCTTAGGAGGTTTTCATGCAGGTCCCCACATCTGAACCGTAGAGTTCAGTGTGGGGAAGGAACCTTGACAGCTTCTCAAATAAGTAGGCTTTCTTCAAGTGCTGTCCCTGGGGGTGCTCCACTTTAGGTGTTTGTGCGCCCCTGCATTCGTAGTCTGAGACTTTTGGTAGCAGTGCGTGCTGCAGGCAGTTAACCAACGCTGTGCGACCAGCCCCCACTCAGTTCCTTCTCTACTGCCCTTAGCTACCAGCCAGAGCAAACAGCAGCTCTGCTTTGTAGTTAGTTAGTCAGTTACTTAGTTTCCTTGTTAGCAGCTACTTAGATTGTTTCCCTTTTCTTTTCGCCTTGGTTAAAAAAAAAAAAAAAAAACACACAACCAAAAACCTCACAGCCAGGAATTTCAGAAAAACAGCCATTTTGACGGTGAAAGTGACTCTCTCTCTCTCTCTCTCTCTCCCCCCCTCCCCCTGGTTTCCCAGGCTTTCAGCACCGCAGTGCCTGTCCCTGACAGCCACGGTTGGTGTGTTTGTGGCATGCCTTCTTCGCGCAGGCAGCAAAGTTTTGCATTGCCTTAGGCTCATGGCCAGAACGGCACAGAGTGGAGAGGTCTCTTGGACCTGCATCAGGGCATGAAGCTCGGAACACACACACAGACTCCCCAACTTTGCCAACTGCAGCTTCGGACAGGGGTCCTTTCTCCAACCCCACACTGGAGTGCCCCACCGGGTGACACTTGAGGAAGCACCTGGGTCCCCACCGCAGGAATTAAAAAAACAAACCAACAAAAAAAACAACCAGCTGTCCAGACAGTAACAGCACCGGCTGTGCTCGGGCGGCGGAGAGCTCTGGCACCACTGCAGCCAAGGACTGTGGGGGACGGCTCCGGCACAGGCACTGAGGGGAGGTCGGAACCCTGTGCCTCCATGCCACAATCTACAGCCGCTCTGCGGGCAGGCATCCGGTGCCGGCACTGGCTGTGCTGTCAGCACCAGGAGCCAAAGTAGCGGAAAATCCAGGCACCGCTGGCACTGCTAGAGCCAGAGACACTCTACGAGAGCTGGCTCCAACGCAGGCACGAGGGGGAAACCAAAACCCTGTGCCTCTGCTCCGCGATCTACAAACGGCGGTGTGGCGCCGCTGCAAAAGGCGGCGGCTTCAAAGGGGCACCCAACACGCACAGAGGCACAGCCAGCAGCACCACCTTCTCCTCCGCAGCCCTGGCACTGACAAGGAGGCAGCCCCAGGGACCAATCAAGCCAGCACAGCAGCGGTTCCTCAGACAGCGGGTTCTGGTATTTGGCTCTGCCCCTGATCCCCCTATTCGTGGTACCGATATGAGAATGATACCCTCTGCACCAAGTCTCCCTGCGTCCCCAACATCACTCACCGTGTCGCTCCTTATTTGAAGGAGGAAGAACAGGAAGCTATTCCCCCACCAGCCCCACTCCTGACTCCATCAGGAGTCACTCCTGGGGCATATTATGCTGTCCCCAGGTACTGACAGTGGTACGGGGACTCCCTATGCTGCTCCCATCCAAATGGGCATGCTGGAATCCATTGGTAATATGCCCCACACAAGGGGGGACTGCCCGCCATGGCCAGACCAGCACACAGTAATTCCCCACAGCTTCTGTACCAGCACCCTCAGTGGTACCAGGGGAAGAGGAGGAAGAACCCCCGCTTCTGCAGGGGACATCACCTACCCACTTGCCATCATTGTCCATAGAGGACACCTTTATGCCTCCTCCCCCTAACATAGGGGATGATTTCAAATTGTTCCATGGCTTATTGAGAGGGTGGTCCTCTCTGGACATCGCCCTTGAGGAGGTCGCCGTGATACAGCATGGGCTAGTGGACTTTTGCATACATCCGCTTCATTTTAAAAAAAAAAAAATTTGCCCTTCACATGAATGAGGCACCAGTGGACCCTGTAATGGTCATTCTGTGGACCCCTGTGGCTGCCCCTCCAGCCAGCGGGAGGTCCAACAGGAGGTGTGTACCAACAAAGGGCGCAGACTTCCCATCCAGCACCTAATTTCTTAGTGATAGACGCAGTCCAGCGACATGACATACAACAGCATACATTTCGTGATCCGATGAAGTGAGCTGTAGCTCACGAAAACTTATGCTCAAATTGGTTAGTCTCTAAGGTGCCACAAGTCCTCCTTTTCTTTTTGCGAATACAGACTAACGTGGCTGCTACTCTGAAACCTGTCATAGGAGGTAACTGTTCACCTTAAATATGTTACATTCAGCTTTATGGTGTTAACAGCTAAGAAGTATGCTATCACAGCATTTATGAACTCTCTACTGATTTTCAACATATAAAACTGAGGGGTTTTTTCCCACAATATCAAATGAAAATCTTTCTCTGGATTTTTTGTATTATCTTGATCACCATAGTATCTGGGTGCCTATTCAACTACACTGAGGGAGATGGCAGGGTTTAAATCTTACATAATACATAAGTCTAAACATCAAGTAAAATATATTCAACATACTCTTTTTTTTTTTTCTTAGCCAGAGATGGTCCATAAATTTATTAGCTGTTTCTTTGAAATCCACATGAATATTTTTTTCTCATAAAATGCATGTTCCATCAACATAGGCAGAGGATAGATTCTGTCTGGGGATTTTGTCTGTTCGATTTAACGTGGGAGGAGGTTGAGAACACTTTTATAACTAGAGCTTTTCCTGTTTGTTAATATTATAATGGTACATCTGCGTCTGTTAGTAAGGGAACTAGGTCTGTAACGTTCCTGAAGACGTTTGCCTTTTCTCCAAAGTACAGAAATAAATGTGAAATTGTCTGAAAACTGCATAGCTCAATACTTCAATCTAAATGGGAGACTATTTTTAAAAGCAATGTTAAAACTTAGTAGGACATCTCTAGGGGCAGGGTGCTTCCCCTGTCTTCAGTGACTGAACTGCTCCATATGCAAACTATTTTTCTGCCAGGAGCTCCCCAGTCTGGAACTGGGCAGCTGCTCTTCTAGGCTCTGCTTCAAGTAGTTCTATGCCTTTAGTGTGTTGCATGCCCAGCTCAGTCCCTCCTTGCTGCAGGCTGCTCTCAGTGCAGACAAAGTTTCGCACACTTAACAGAATGAGAAAGGGAACAGCAAAATACTACTGATACCTAGTTCTTATATAGCACTTTTCGCCCATAGAACTTAAAGAGCTTTACAAGGGAGAGTATCATTATCCTCATTCTATAGATCAGTGTTTTTCAAACCATGGGTCACAACCCAGTACTGGGTCGTCTTGCTCTGGTCAGCAGCACTGACTGGGACATTAAAAGTCCCATCAGCAGTGCTGCCCAGCTAAGGCAGGCTAGTGCTTTCTGACGGTGCTCTTATCCCGCCCACACTCTCTCCCCCGCGCCCCCAACAATCACTTGCAATACCAGGACTTGCTTTAATGCATGGGTACAGACCTCAGTCTGCCTGTCAAAGATGTCCAGGATCCACAAAACCAATTCCTGGACATCCTGCAAACCCCCTGGACTCTGGCATGGTGCCCTCATGCATCTAGACCAACCTGATTGGCACATCAACATCCTGGAGCTGTGGGTCATTTGCCTTGCCTGCCAAACCTTTCTGTCCTTTCTCCAATCTCACCACCTTCATCTGCTGTCCAACAACATGACAGCAGTCATCTATATAACCAAACGGTGTGGGCCTTGGACTGGTGTGTCCAATACAACATCACGCTACAAGCCATTCACCTTCCAAACACCAGCAACTCCTTGGCGGACATATTCAGCTGCTCCTTCCATGCCAACCACAAATGGGAACTTCATGACCCCAATCTTCCGTTTCTGGGGCACAACTTGTTACAATCTCTTTGCCACACCAGAGAACTGCAAGCTTCCCCTCTTTTGTTACAGGGGAGGGACCTGCCCAGGTTCCCAGGGCAATTCTTTCCTCCTTTCCTGGACCACCGGCCTCCGCTACACATTCCCGCCCATTCCCCTGCTCCCCCAAGTCCTGCGCAAGGTGCGGAATGACCGTGTAATTCTTCTCCTTATTGTCCCCACCTGGCATCACTAGTACTGGTACACAGACCTCCTACATCTCTCTGCTTGTCCTCCAATCCATCTCCTTATGCAAGCAAACAGCCAGCTACAACATCCCAACCTGAACCCTCTCCATCTCACGACCTGGTATTTGGATGGGGCTCACACATAGAAAACTCATGCTCCTCTGTCTGCAACATCCTTACCCATTGCCGATGCCCAACCACTCGAGCATGCTATCAAGCCAAATGGCACCTTTTTACCACCTGAGCGCAGTGCCACCAGCACCACCTGCACTCCATCTCCATTCCCACCATCCTGGATTATCTGCTTTCTCTCCATTGGTTAGGCCTCACCCACTCCTCTGTCCATGTCCGCCTGGCTGCGCTTAGTGCCTTCCTTCCGCCTCTGGATGGGTTTTCCATTTTCACCCACCCAACTACCTCCCGCTTCCTTTGCAGCCTTCTCAATGCCTTCCCCGCCATCCAGAAGCCTTCTCCTTCCTGGGACCTTAACCTTGTCCTTTCCAACCTCACCAAGCTTCCCTTTGAACCACTCGCCACCTGCTCCCTCACTCATCTTTCCACGAAGGTGATCTTTTTGGTGGCTATCACCTCTGCATGGAATGTTAGTGAAAGGACACCCATGATGGAGGACCTTTCACTGTCTTCCCTGTGCCTCCATCCAAAATTTCTCCCCAAGGTGACCTCGCCATTCCACCTCCTGACCATCTACCCCAAATCGCACGCCACCCCTTGAGAACATGCACTCCACCCACATGATGTTTGACAGGCCTTGGCCTTTTATCTTAATTTTGCCCCGCCTTCTGTGTGTCTAATTGACTCTTCTGCAATGGTGACGAATGCTGCCAGGGTCGCACACTCGCACTCTCTCTCTCGCTCTCTCTCTTTTCTCAGCAACTCTCTAAATGGATCATCTGGTGCATTACCAACTGCTATACACTCTCTCGTCTTCCCCCCCTGCCCCCAGGGGGTCATGGTCCACTCTATGCGGGAGTATGCTGCTACATTGGCCTTCCTCGCAGATGTCCCATGGCATGATATTTGTAGGGCAGCTACCTGGACCTCCAGCCACACCTTTTCTGCCCATTACGCCATCGCCCCTGCCTCTGCAATGGATGCAGCAGTCCTGCACACAGTCTCTCTTCTCATGAGCCCTCGTGCCCATCTCCACACTGACCACTGGTCACTACTCTTCCACATTTGGAATCCACATAGGGACCATCACTTGAAGAAGAAAAGTTTACTTACTGTAATTGGAGGTTCTTAGAGATGTGTGGTCCCTATATGGATTCCAATCCCACCCTCCAGTTCCTCTGCTCTGGGCTCCTTTCCTTCTGGGTAAGGGAACTGGAGTGGCACCAACCCGTACAGTCTCCTTAAAGCCTCGGACGCACCACACAGTCAACACATGCAGGTCAACAGACCCTACTATGAACAGTTCTGGCACATGGCATGCATGCACACCCATGGCTGGAATCCAGATAAGGACCACACATCACAAAGAACCTCCAATTACAGTAAGTAACCTTCTCTCATGTGCCTAAGTTGTTTCCCATACAGATTGATAGTCTTCCTATACAGAGCCCATCACTATTATTAATATCATAACAATATGAAGAGGAGGAAATATTTGTGACACATTTTCTTTGAAGAGAAGTGAAATCCTAATGCTTTCATGCATTCAGATGCAGTACATGATATGACAGCCCTGAACAAAACAAAATAATTTAAATAAAAATCAAACTGCTTAATTATTAATATAATGTTAGTCCTACAGTCTTCAACAGTTGTCCTATGTTCTCACTGGTAGTTGCTTAGCCCCTGAAGCCTGCATATGGATCTGTGCAGAGCCTCACTGAAGTCAGTTGTGGTTTGCCTACTCATTACAAGCTCAGGCTACAGACTGTAAGGTCTTCAGGATCAGGACTAGGGCCGAGAATCCTAGATCCTCCCATTGAAACCAGTGGGAGTTAGGCACCTACATGCAGTTGAGGATGTGGGCTTCGGCTTAATAGTCTAACTCTTGTAAACACTTGTGAGTAACTTTACTCATGTGAGTAGTCCCATATAAGTTTATGGCACTAATCACATATGTAATGTTACTCATGTGCATATTCATTTATAGGATTGGGCTATGCATTTGTATAACATCTAGCACAATTGGTCGCTGATCCTTCTCAGATGATGCCATAATATAAACAATGTTATCCTAGCTATGAGTATTATCACAATACGTGGTAGAATTCATTCATAAGCACTTATTGTGACAGGGTCGGGCCAGATGGCTATAGGAGAGTAATAGAAGGCAGATATATAAGCCCCAGGCTAAGCAGGTCCCTTTTCCCTGGATAAGGTAACAGGGAAGGTTCCAGAACAATCAGGAACCTTCTGGAGACAATTAAGACAGGCTGATTAGAACACCTGCAGCCAATCAAGAAGCTGCTAGAATCAATTAAGGCAGGCTAATCAGGGCACCTGGGTTTTAAAAAGGAGCTCACTTCAGTTTGTGGTGTGTGCGCGAGGAGCTGGGAGCAAGAGGCTCTAGGAGCTGAGAGTGAGAACGCGGAGTGTTGGAGGACTGAGGAGTACAAGCATTATCAGACTCCAGGAGGAAAGTCCTATGGTGAGGATAAAGAAGGTGTTGGCAGGAGGCCGTGGGGAAGTAGCCCATGGAGTTGTAGCTGTCACACAGCTGTTCTAGGAGGCACTCTAGACAGCTGCATTCCACAGGGCCCTGGGCTGGAACCCAGAGTAGAGGGCGGGCCTGGGTTGCCCCCAAACCTCCCAACTCCTGGTCAGACACAGGAGGGGTCGACCTGGACTGTGAATTCAGAAAAACGGCCAAGCTGAGGGCTGCCGTGAAGCTCCCAGGCAAGCAAATCCGCCAATAAGCTCAAGACCCACCAAGGTAGAGCAGGAACTTTGTCACATTATGTATTTCTTTTAGTTTGGTGAAATCAGCATCTGTATTATTTTCATTGGTATTAAAGCCTGATAATGCACAGCATTGTGTCATTTTGAATTGGTTTCTAGCTCCATTCCAACTGTTGATTGCCTTGCCTTTAAAAAAAAAATCAGCATTCCATTCACAGGTTGCAAATGAATAAGGCTTGAACAGATGTTAAATAATGTTTTGTGAATGTAGGGCACTTTATGAATCAGGTTAGTATTCTCTAATTACAATTATCTCACACACACTCTGGCATTCAGCCTCATTAATCGCAGCTATTTGATTTCATTTGCCATAAACACTCCTTAGCTAATGTTGTGTGACATTATCTCATGTGCAGCAAAACATAACACATACTGGGTAAGCAGAGAGAAACTATAATAGTGCTTAGCATACATTGGCATCAGATGCAGATTTTGTTTGCCACACATGGTCAATTGCTTTAAAAAATCTGAATGTATGAATCTAAAACAAATATTTTACTTTGGGTAAACATTCAGGTAAAAACATTCACTTGTGGACACAGC